TATTATTTTAATATATCCACTAACTATTAACCATACCATCTTTTTTCAAATTTAACTATAATTAAAAAAATAACTAATTTTTTACTAGTTGAATTCATATCGAATCACCCCTAAAAACTTGTACAATTTATTTAAATGCCTATGATCAATCTCAGTAGTCCAAAGTCTAAATTAGCACAGTTGAGACAAAAGATCAGTTGGCGTGATTGAATACCATTTTTATCTAATTTTTCGTATCGTATATATTGTCTGTAAGCTACTAATGATAATTGATAAAGCCTTTTTCCAATGAATGATGATGGTTTTAGAATATACAAATACAATAGGCTATGAAATAGTAAAAGGGTTTGTTCAAAATTATTTCTTTTTGAAAATGTGTGGGACAATGAATTTTAAATGTGAATGAATTCTGTAACAATTATTGGTAATTTGAAGAATCTTTTCATCTTTCATCTTTCATGATTGTTAGCTTGAANAAAAAAGGAGGCAAAGCCTATATCACAGTTATGGCAGGATGCTTCGAGAATAAAAAATATCGTGTAACAATTATTGGTAATTTGAAGAATCTTTTCATCTTTCATCTTTTTTGATTGTTAGCTTGAAAAGATGACTGAGTACATGCACTTTCTTAATCTATAATCACATGTGAAGTTGCAAAGAATAAGGCAAAAAACAAGCCACATATGAAATTCAAACGAAAATATATTTTAATAAAATTTCAACGACAATTTCAATGGATATTCCAATGGTATTATTTTCGATCAAATTTTCTAATTGATTCTAACGAAAATTCCAACAAAAAAAATTCACTGGAATGAGTTTCCCATTAGAATTTCCGTTAAATTTTATCGATCCAAACGGTTGAAATATGAGTGAAAATAAATATTCCAATGGAAATTACATATTTTAATAGAAATTTCTACGGTGAAAAAGCATTGAAAAAATAGTCGTTGGAATGATCAAGTTTCATCTAAAATTCCAATGAAAAACTCATTCCAACGAAATAATTTCATTGGAGTTTTCAGTGGAATCATTTCAACGGAAGTTATATTATTGAAATATCCATTGGCATTTCCATTTAAATATATTACCGTATGATATTTTGATGGAATATGATAATTTTTGTGCAGTTGAGTTGAATATCATAATCATTGCCTTGAATAATAAAGTTACATTACTATATATTTTTTAAAAATATTGTTCATTTTATTTGGGGTAGGGGTTAAAAATGTGAAATATGAAATCTATGTATATAAAATTGCTAGTAAATCATTAAATAAAATCTAATAAATAAAATTTAATAAATTTTACCTATGTGGCATTTTTTCTCCAATAACCGTTACAATCCGATATTATTATTATTATTATTATTATTATTATTATTATTATTATTATTATTATTATTATTATGTTAATCCACCCTGTTCCATCAAGGATAAAATATTTCCTTGCACGTTTTTTGGGTTAATTATGTCAAACCGTTACTTTTTTTTTTCCAAAACGACAGAGGAACTATTATAAATCAAAAGCGCACAAATGTGCGAAACAAGATACAAAGCTCCCAACGGGAGAATAAAATGGGAGGACAGGTCAGAAGACCGCCTAGAATCCCGCTAGCAACACTAGAAAGAAACTCGCAACTACAATGACCAACAACTCAACCAACTAAACCAACAAAACAACAATAACAACTGAAAAGACCCCAACAGAGTAATATCCGAGTGTCGGATCCCACAAGGATAATAAATTTGACACTCGGGCGCACAGAGACCAAGCGGCCCAAACTAAAAACACAAACCTAAACAACAATAAACGAAAACAATAAACCTAAACACACAAAGCCCTTCCCCAGCTAGATAACCGAACCCAGCACGAAGCACCAGCGAAAAGCAGACCAATCACCCGATAGTTTGACACGAAAGCCGGAACACCACTCCCGCCACTGCCTAATGCCTAGCAAAGGAAGAGTCCAAGCCTCGAACCATACCACGGATGAAGCCTACCTACAGCCCAACGAGGATCGATCAGCCCCACCACACAGACCCGCTCCCCACGACCCGACCAAACACCAATGGCCAGAATCCGGGCCTGTCGAACATCCACCTCCACCAGACCAGCAAAGAGGACACAGAGGGATGAACCAACCAACCCACCCCAACCCCAAAAACTCACCTCCTTGAAGCCACTCCACCACTAACATGTTGCGCGACGGACGAGCTCCCACCAGAGACCGGGCAGTGAAGAAGCCAACCGACGGCCAGCCACCATAGCCACTACACGGAGAACCAGAACTCGGAACCACGACCGGCGGAAAGGAAGCAGCAGGGACTGCCGACAGCTCGGGAGAATCCATCGGCGCAGAAGCGCTGAAGAGCGAGAAATTGAGGATGGGTGATGGAGCTGAAGGTCGACCGCCGGCAGAAGGGCCGGCTATTCGCCGAGGAAGGCGCACGAAGGACCAGAAATCTGAGGAGCTGCGGCGAGGATTTTTAGGGCGAGAGAAATTGGGGGCGAGAGGCTAGGGGTGAACAAAAAGTTTTACGACAAACCGTTACATTGTGTACTAATTATATTCTTTTTTTTTTGTATCATATAATGGTTATTATTAAAAATAATAATTATATTTTATACTAAATGATATATGAAAGTTACATAAATATAACAAATTATATTGTAAAAAATTTTGTTCAAATTATTTATTCTAAAATCAATATTATATTTTTTATCTGATTAAGCGATTGTTTTTTAAATAAATTAATTTATTTTAATGTCATAGTAAAAATTCTTAAAATTGCCTAAGCAATTATTAAAATAAAATTAAAAATTTTAAGCTAATTACTTGGTCATATACCTTCAAAATTACAAAATTTACATATTTATTACATTTTGTGCAACCAATATAGTGATTCACATGCAATAAAATCGTTATGTATTATTTATTTTATCCAATGATAAAATTTAAAATATAATATCATTATCTAACTTATTATAATTTTAATAGTATATGCATACAAATAATTTATAATACTTTAGTTACATCTGTGCAAATGCACATGGTCGAATTCTTGTAAAAATCTAAGAACTGTTATCTTAAACAAGTTAAAAAATCAATAAGGCTAATATGTTAAAAATATTAAAACACACTACATTAATATAATATTAGATTATTTAGCATTTTCAATGGTGATGACTTGATGCCATCAATTGTCACTTCATTGTCGTGTGATATGAGCATTTTTCAAAGGAGAGAAAATTATATGAGAAACGTTGCAAAAATTGTTATTTTATTTCATAATTTGTATTTTTTAGATAAAAATAATTAACCATATATGATGAAACACATTATTTTTCAATTAATACAAAACGATCCAAGTACTTCAATAATTAAAAACAATTTTATGATTGATCTTTATTATCTTCTTTAATAACAAATTAATAATAAATCTTAATTATTTAAAATTCGTGCAATTTATTAACAACTTTCAATATTTAGGCATTAATATATAACACACTCTTTTTTCTTTTCACATATATATATATATATTTTCAGAACGATAGAGACTTTATAAAAAAACACACACAAAGATACAACTTAAAAGACAACCCAAAGATGAATGAGGCATCCGAAAAATCGAATAAAATGGGAGACCTGATCTGAAGAACACCTAGAACTTAAGCTAGAAAGAAAACTAGACTACATACCCACAAACTAACACAAAAACCACGAAACTCCAAAATTGAAGAATAAACACTCCCCACACAAGAGACTATACACTCCCAAACACGAGAAAAGAATAAGCCACAAAACACAAAAACCTATAACATACTTCTAATTATGTTATATACACCCAATCAAAAAAAAGAAAAAAAAATTATGTTATATACATTTTATTACATTATATATCAACATATAAGATGAAGAAAAAAAAAAAAAAACTCTAAACTTAGGGGGTTTCACTCTACATTACAAGTGTAGACAATTTTTTATCTCGTTATATCGATATCACATGGATGTGTATGCGCACACAATCTGACGTTCCGGGACAATTTAAACTTTAATATTAGCGGTGTCCAAATCGTCAAATCGAACATCCATACGCGTATGTGTGCATGCACACAACCGACATTTCATAGCCAAATATCGATAGAATCGACCATCTACACGTAGGGAAGTAAACGAGTCAAGTTTGAGCCGATCTCGAGCTTTAACAAGCCGAGTTATAGAAAATTATATAAAAGTTATATTTTATAGCTTTAACAAAACTTATCGAGCCGAGTCGAGCTTGACTCATTAACGGAGACTTATCGAGCCGAGTCGAGCCCGACTCATTAACGGAACAAACTTTAAGCGAGTTCGACTCATTTATCAAACGAGTTGAGACGAGCTCACGATCGACTCGTTTAGTTTAACTGCTCTATCTACACGAGTGTGTGCACGTGCACAATCCAACAATTCGGACTCTAAGATGATAGTGTTTAGATTGTCGAATTAATATACAAAAAAGTGCGCGCGCGCGTACAATCTGACGATTCAGACCCTCATGGTGTGATTGAATATAAATCTTGATTGATTTTTTTTTTTTTTTTTNTCTTGATTGAGTTTTATTGGTTTTATTGTCAATTATGATTAATTTTGAAAAAGTTGGTTGAGTTATGTTTGAGTGAGATTTTTGAGTTTGTATATAAATAGTATTTAAAATAAAATGATTATAGTCGATTTAATGTAAAAGTAGGAGACAAGTGATTAAAAGTGATGAGTAGTTAAAATTATGTAAGTGCATACCAATGAATTAAACTGATTTGCTATGTGAAGAGGATTGATTGATGTTATTTAATTATATAGATAAATATTTTAGATAATTGAATTGAGTTAGATTTTCAATTGTGATTGATTTTTTCTAATTATGAATTATATCTAATCACACTCACTGTCTCACCGAAAAGTTACGAATTCTCGCTCACTTAGGAAGTATAAACAAAAATCGTCCTATAAACGGAAACTTTTTTCCGGCGAATGGAAAACAAGAAAGCCTCCTAAACCAATCAGTGCCTTTTTTCTTCTATGTGAAAAAGAACTTTCCTGCGAAAATCATTTCATGCCAACCTCTCTTGCGGTCCACGCACCAATTTCTAAAGTCCATACCAAATGTTCCAAAAAGTCTAAAATCCGCGTAATAATAAATCAGATTTATTAATCACCTTTTTATTATACTACTATTTTGTTCTCCAAATCTTTCCATCAGATATTCTTCGTTTTCCTCAGCTCCATCGTCGCCTCTATCACGACTTCTCAACACCAGTCACCAGCTGCCCTCTTTCTTCTATATATCCTCGATTTTTTCGAAGTCATAATTCCTTTGAATTCTGGGTTTCTGTTCTCTGTTTTTGTCTCCCCTTTAAATCTGTGTACTGTGTAGCTGAGGAAAGAGGAAAAAAGAGGAAGAGGAATATAATGAAGAATAAGAACAATGGGAAGGTTTCTGTCACTTGGATTCCTATTTTCTCCATTTCTTTCTTCTTCATCGGCATGATTTTCACCAACAAGTACGTTTTTGCTGTACAATTTTAATGCGTTTCTAGTTTTTATTGGGTTTTTTTTTTCCAAGAATCTTTACTATTTCTAGGGGAGGTTTAGCCTTTAAAATGATCTGGGTTTTACAGATTCTGGGGTCCTTTGGAATCCAATAATCTTCTCATAACTCAGCAAAGGAGGAACCAAGAGCTTCAGATCGTGTCCGAAGACTGCGATACTAAGAAAAAGGTCCGACCTTTATGAGACCGTCTCTTTAGATATATGTATTTGAAGCTCTAAAGGCCCAACCTCTCATGGATTTTCTGGGTTTTATTTTCAAATTTCAAACATATCTAGCTTTCCCTTTTTTGAGGTGTGGATGAATTTTGGTGTATTGAGTAGTGTCTGAATATTTTTCGCAGAATGCTGCAGATGAAGACAAGGATGTAATGAAAGAAGTGTACAAAACCCACGATGCAATCCAGTAAAATTCACAGTTTTCTTGTTTTTATCAGCTCTAGCCATTCTTAGTAAACTTAATTTGTAAACTAATTAATGGGCAAATGCATATTTTTGGTGTTGTTTCAGGTCGTTGGACAAGTCGATTTCTATGCTTCAGATGGAATTATCTGCTTCTAGAAGTGCTCAGGCCAAGGGGAAAGATGATGGGTCAACACCAGTTTCTAGTGAAGGGCCTCCAAGGAAGAAGGCATTTATGGTGATTGGTATAAATACTGCTTTTAGCAGTAGAAAGAGGCGTGATTCGGTCCGAGAGACTTGGATGCCTCAAGGTAAATACTCTTTCCCATATCTCAAATGAATTATTATTATTAGCTTCTATTTTACTTGTTTTTTTCAATAATCCAGTGAGATTGTTTTGATTTGCTTAGGGGAGCAGCTTAAAAAACTGGAGCAAGAGAAGGGGATTGTTGTGAGATTTATGATTGGACATAGGTAAACTTTCACATTATTCGAGATCAACTCATTTTTCTTTTGTGTATATTTTTATTAGTCTGTGTTTTTATGCTGTCTTTTTGGTTCTATAAGTATCCAAGCTTATATGGCCTGTGCTATTCAACGTCAAAGGACTTCATGAAGTTTTACCGTTTGAATTTTTTTATTGATTTACATCAATCTTCATTCATGGAGAACTTGTGCATGTACCAGGAGAGCTATTTGTGGTTGATGTTGTATTGTTATCTGTAGCCATCATAAAGTGACAGTGTTGTAAAATGGAAACTGAATAGTTGTTTCACTTGATTGTTCCAGTGCAACATCAAATAGCATATTGGACAGAGCTCTCGACTCTGAAGAAGCTCAACACCAGGACTTTCTCAGACTGGTAAAAGGAATTCGGCCAAGTTTCCCTCTTTTTCTTTTCCTAAATTAAGAAATTAACCTGAGATTTGAATTTAAAATCTTAAAATCATATAATGTGACAGGATCATATCGAAGGATATCATGAACTATCTGCGAAAACAAAGACTTTCTTTGCCACTGCTGTTGCAAGGTGGGATGCTGATTTTTATGTCAAAGTTGATGATGATGTTCATGTTAATCTGGGTGAGTATTGAATTGAATTGAATTGAATGCCTTTGTTTTCCTTCATCTGTGAAATTGTTAAAGATTTGTATATTCACTGTTTAAAACCCCACTAATCATTTCTTTGGTGCCTATAGGTACATTTGCCGCAACTCTTGCCCGTCACCGTTCGAAACCCAGAGTTTACATTGGTTGTATGAAATCTGGACCAGTTTTAGCTCAAAAGTAATCCTTGTAATTGTACATAAGTGTAGTTTTTGCTATGTGATAATGTTGGCCTGTTGGGCATTTAGTAATCACACATCTTATCATTATCCAGGAATGTTAAGTATCACGAACCAGAATACTGGAAATTCGGAGAAGAAGGAAATAAGTACTTCCGGCATGCAACTGGGCAGATTTATGCTATTTCCAAGGATTTGGCCACCTACATCTCGATTAATCAGTAAGAACTTTGGTCAAAAGTCAGATTACATTTACTCTTGCATTCTTGGTTCTTTTTAAGAATTTATGGAGTATCGATATATATTGCACTGCTAAATTTGTGAGTTTTAGAGGCAAACTTATATACTTTGCAGCTACAAAAGGCAAAATGCATATGAGCTGTAGATTGCCAGGATTTTGTGCTTACCCTTATGAGAATTGAGATTCTATTATGATTTGCAATTTTTAGGGACATTCTGCACAAGTACGCCAATGAAGATGTGTCTCTTGGTGCTTGGTTTATTGGTCTTGAAGTCGAGCACATTGACGAGCGCAATATGTGCTGCAGTACTCCACCAGGTATCGTTTTCTGATCGATTTTTTTTTTTTGATACACTTACAAAAAATGTTAGTTCCATCAAAAACCCAAAAATGTGGTTGTCTGCCAAAATATTTGTAATTGTTCTCATCAAGCAAATTTACTCACTAAAAGAAATCTTTTGTGAAAAATTTGAAAATTATAACACCCTAGTAAGTAAACTATATGTTGTAATAACTCAAAGGTAGAACATCAAGACTGTACAGATTTTCTTTTCATAATCTTAGCCGAAGCTAAAAGTAGTCAAGAATCAAAAAAGACAACAAAGCATTAATAAACAATAAGCCTGTTTCTGAATATAGTTAAGAGAATTTTGGATGAATAACTTATTGAAGTGATCAAAGCAATGCACAATCAAGAAATCAATTTGCCAGCATGCGTCACGAATTCTGAGTTGAAAAAAAGAAGAGAAAAAAGAAAGAAAAGTCTATTTGCTCATATTTTGTTGCTAAATTTTTCAGATTGCGAGTGGAAGGCACAAGCGGGAAATGTATGCATTGCTTCTTTCGACTGGAGCTGCAGTGGAATCTGCAAGTCTGTGGAGAAGATGAAATTCGTACACGAACAATGTGGGGAAGGAGAAGAGGCTCTCTGGAATGCTTTACTATGATAATACAGTTCATTTAAAAATGTGTATTAAAGAGAAAACCATAAAACTCCCCCATTTTCAGCCATCAGATTCGAACCACACGATGGCCAGTGAAGGGTTTTCTCAAATTTATTAAAGCTAATCAACTCTTTCTTTTGATCTTTTGTACAAAATGCTGTTGGAATTGAGCTGAGCCTGAGTAGACGAAGTTTGTCCTAACTGAAATCATTCTTCGTATATAGAAATTTCGATACATGCTCATATATATCTAGATATTCTGGATTATGCAGTGTATTTGTTTTTGACAGTAATAGGAACACACATTTAGCTGGCTACATAATTTTCTCTTCCATTCTTGTTCATCATNTTTGTACGAAACAGAAATCCTTGTGGCAAGAGTTCGATTTGGATCAGCTTAAGGTTCGCATTTTTTTTTTTTAAAGTTGGTTCGGCTGTTGATTTTCGGAATTTGGTAGGTATGACCCAAATTCTAACCCGGGTTGTTTTCAAACAATCAGGTTAGGTGGATTATGAGATTTGATCATGTTCATTATTGAGGCAATTATTGTTAAATATCATCTTCAATACTATTAAGGTTGGGTGAATGGTGAGATTTTAATCATCGTCATTATTGTTAAATCATCTTCAATACTAATTGTGGGAAGTGATTTGAAGGAGTTTGATGCAACTTTTCACCATTTTCAAACTTTGTCTGCTGTGTTAAGTGAAGAAATTATGTGAACTATGAATTTATTGATAAACTCTAGCCTGAGCCAATTTTGCCAAAAATATTGCTTCTATCAATTTAACATTTTATCCATGAGCCCTCAATCATCTTATTTTTCCATCTTTTCAGTTGTTAGCAACCAATTATTGATATCCACACTTTGCAACATCAAACGAAATGAGTCGTTCGTTAGCTCTCAACTAACAATGTATGAGAATAATAAACCTTTACCACGAGGTCATAAGCAAAAACTCTCGACTCCATTTCTTTCTTCTGCTCGGGCAGCTTGCTTAAAAAAAGGGGGCTTCAAAAGATGAACACATACAAGGCACCAAGAGACAAACTAGTCTGCATCTTGAATTGTTGCAAAGCCATCAATAGCCTGTTGCTAAATGCATCCATTGATTTGAATGAAGTTCACCTGGAGCAGACGAAATGAAGATCATGAATAAAAGTATAGTATTTTTCAAATACACGGTAGTATTGGTTTTGGAGTCGCAAAGGATTTTGATCAGAAGCGTTATTTATTTTACTTATTCGTTCAAAGAACCGTTGAAGGAAATTCGTCACTGGATCTTAAAGCAGAAACTATTTGTGATGTTTTGACTAGGCAAATGCAACTCAATTGCACTCATTAATCTGTCTTGATTTGATAATCGAGTCGAAAGTGGTTTAAGAAGGAACTATTCAGACCCGGTTGAAAATGAAAAGAAGATTCGGTTTTTTCCATTTTTGCCTTTGGGAAAAAAGCTAAAAAAGATTTGATTTTTTGTCCTAATTATTATAGGTATGGTTGATGTTCTTTTGAAGGGGATGAAGGTGTAGAGCTGCCTTTATCAGAATCCAAGTTTTTCATCAATGTGTGGGATGAGATTATCATGATATACATCAAAATTGCTGAAATTAATCATAATATACATCAAAATAACTAAACACAGAGTGGATGAAGGTGTAGATCTGCCTAAATCAGTATCAAGTTTTACATCAATGTGTGGGATGGAATTAACCATAACATACATCAAATAGCTGAGATTAATCATAAACATACATCAAAATAGCTAAACACAAGTTAATCGCATACCAGAAAAATTTCCTCAAGCATCAGCTTTGGCTTCTAACCGCCATGGCCGCCGCCCTCGAGCTTCACCACCTCCAAAGAGGGCAAAATCGCGGTGGCCTCACCGCCAATCACAAGGCTGTTACAATCGCCAGCGCCCTTGTAGCAATCCGTCCGGAATTTCACAAAGAACTTATTCTCACCCAGCCGCCTGACGTCACCGGCGGTGACCCGGCCGAGAATCTCCTCGCCGACGTACGCCGGCAACCTGAACTCCAGCGTCTGCCTCGCGTAGACCGCGCCGGGGAAGTTCGAGGCGATTATCCTCGGGAAGAGCGACGCCACGAGGACGCCGGGGACGGGGATTCCGTCGAAGCCTGCGATTTTGGCGCGATCCGGGTCGGAGTGGATCTGGTTGAAGTCGCGGGTCAGCTTCGAATACTCAGCGATGTCCGACGCGGAGAATGTCCTCGCCTGTGAAAATACGTCGCCTGGTTCGAGAACCTTCGTCGCCGGTGAGGAATATCGCCGGAGAGTGGGGATCGAGATGCGGAGGGGACGATACATCTGTCTTTTTCTATTTTTGAGGAATTTTTGGAACATTTGGGAGATTGAATTGTATTATTCGAAAAAAAAATTAAATTTTCCCCTGCGGACCTTATCACGAAAAAATTTTCTAAAGCTTTTTTTTTTCTTCACTATACTAAAGGCACTAACATAACTTCTACAAAAAAAAAATTTTAATCATTCTCCGTCTGTTTTCCATATTGTATCCTTCATAACCACATTATTTCCAATTTTATTAAATCATATTTTGAATATCATTTTTCTTTTCATTTTAAATGTCAGTAAAAACTTTTTCTGAGCAGTACATCGTGTTTGAAACAATTATAGGCCTTTGTCAAAACGGAACATGCACAGAAATAGGCCAAATCTCGAACTGTGACTATCCCGGTTGAATTAGGGAAGAACAATTTGGAGTGGGCTTTGATTGGTGAAGGACGAGCCCAATGAGCATGGATTGATCAATTAATATATGTAAATTAAGTATAACTTTAATCGTTAAGCATGAATGCATGATGCAGACATACTGAACATTCAGTCAGTACTAGGGGTGGTATCGGTTCGGTAACCCAACCGATAACCGGTTTCACTAATATTGAAACCGAAACCGAAACCGATAAGAGGGCGGTAACCGAAAATCGGTTACCGATAAGACGGATCGGTTTCGGTTTAAACCGATAAGAACCGAAACAAAAACCGAAATTAGGCAGATGGAAAGAAGAAAAAAAAAAAAAAACTAAGGAAGGGTATGAAAAAAAAGCCCCTCGCAGAGACCTCTAAAAAGCCACTAATACTAATAATGATAGTCCATTTCATTCACGCCTCACAGTTGGAACCCGTTTTCCAAGCCCTTATATCTAAAGAAAAGAAGGGTATGAATTTTCAGTGAGCTGTGAACAACTAAGTAAGGCTCATGAATGAACAATCCATGGATGGAGGAAGACTAGGGTCTAGGATTATGCTTCTGTCTGGTCGAATCAACTCAACGGGCCACCCTGCCCACATCCCAGTTTTGATTTTTGTGTTTTCTTTTAAAACAAAATTGAAGATAATTATCGGGTTTGAAGATAATTACCTGGGGCACGGCTGAAGTGGCGAAGGTGAGAAGCTGAAGCCGTGAAGGTGTGTCGGTGAAAAAGGCGATCTGAATTCTGAAGTGAAGGTGAGATGAACGACTAATGAACGATTGACGGATTGAACTCCCAGGTGAAGGTGAGGCGAAGGTGAGGCGAAGGTGAAGCCGTGAAGGTGCAGAACTGGTCGAGGTGAAGGAGGCGATATGAATTCCTGAAGTGAACTGATGAACGATGTGTCGATGCTGAATTTCTGATTCTGAAGGAGGCGATTGAAATTTGAAGCCCAGCCCTAGTTAATAACTTAATATTATCCGTCCTTTTTTATTAGATTAATTAATTATAATTTAAGACCAAATTATTTTATTTAACTAATATTAATATATCTATTCAAAACTCAAAAGTAGTATTTTTTTTTTATATATATATTGTTATCAGTCGGTTCGGTAAAATCGAACCCTTATGGGGTCGGAACCGATACCGAGCCGATAACATTTCGGTAACCGATTTTCGGTTACCGATACACATGATTCGGTTCGGTTCGGTTCAGTTTATTTTCACATCGGTTCGGTTCGATTTGGTTCGATTTTCGGTCAAAAAATATCAACCCTAGTCAGTACTTAACGAATATTAACATGTCACCTGATTTATAGTATGAATAAAATAGGTAAATTATTGACAACTGAATTGATATTCAATTTATTGCGAATTGTTATAAATTTTTGATAATTATTTAGTATCCATTTTGTATGGTCCATTATACAAATAGTGCTTAATATGTAACTAGTTCTTGTTTGGTACTCATATTACCACTGATTCTTCTTACTAATGGATTGCCACGCGCGAACCATAGCAAAGCAATAGCTGGGATTTAGTACCGTTGTACCTGATAACTAATCACTCCAACATAAACTCGTTCACCAAGCAGGTAAAAATCCTACACTGTTACAAACTTACACAGATACAATGCTACTTTTATGTTTTCGTAAAAAAAAAAAAGAAAGAAAGAAAGAAAGAAAGAAAGAAAGAAAGAAGGGGGTTGCAAAAGGGTCGCATCTACGGCTACATCCAGAATCGTACAAGTTTTCAGTTGAATTTTATATATACAAACCATTAAAAACTCACATCACGAACGAATAACCCATAGAGAGAGAGTGTGTGTCTAAAATTCCAAGTAATGAACTAGCTCTGCTCTTTGTAAGGAGTCCATATTAATTTACTAACGTCAACTTCAAGTCCTCCACGGCCCGCAGCCTTGAGATGACGATCGAGAACCTTAGGATCCGCGCATATGACGTGTTGTCCCTTTCGGTATTGAATCAATTCTAAGCTCTGAAGCGTGGATAGTATATCCTCTGCCTTGATGGCTGTCATGTCACTCAACTCCTGAAGATAGCAATTTGTAAAGAATGTGAGATAAAAATGAGGTTAAGAAAAATTCTTATTAGGATTTCAAAAGCATTTACTGATAGATTTCTAGATATGGCCTTTCTTGAAAAGCGCTTTTGAGTAATTTCAAGAGTTGGGGAAAAAAAAATAGTACATTCAAAGTGTCCAATATGCAGATACTGGTGAAAAGATATCCAGACGTCACAAAATTTGACTTCATCAAGTGAGGATATAATCATATAACAAATTTAAGTTTTATACTAAATTACTCAAAATCAGACATCAGGTGAACTGTGACAAGTGATAATAACGAAAAGATGAATATCGTACTCCAGCTATACCAGCAGGCAACTGTTAAAAAATTGATACTACTTGTTTAATAACACAAACCTTAATTGAGATGTTGCCCTTGTGTTTTTTCAAGATGTCTAGGAGAACGCGTGTCCAGTATCCCCTGTAGCTCACAAGCCCCAGGTCTGAGAGGGGCCGTTCTGGAGTCCCAACTTTACCTTCTTTCTTGGAAAGCTCATAAGCTGCAAGATTCAGGGACTTGGTTAAGCAATTTTCAGTACATACAGTCTGAAGATTTGTTTTAATGGATAAAAGTTGAAGAGAATCAGATGAAGTAAGTAGATACAACAACGTGAAGTTGTTGGCTTGTATAGCATCGCAAAGGCAAGTAAACCTAGATTTTATTTCTTCAATTGAAATTTGAAGCCCTATCCCTTCCAAACACAAAATAATTATTAGCTAGAAGATAAGGTTGCCAAATTTACTGTTTGACTAGGAGGGGATCCACGTACCCGACTACCCGCCCAGAAAAACTGAACCTAAACAATCTAAATTACCACATCTCACAGATTTTCTCCACTTTGACAAAGCAATTAATTATTTTCCATTCTACAGTTGATAATGAAACTCTCTCTAACTGGAAAATACAATACTATGTAGAATAAAAAAGCTACTTTCGACTCCACTTTTGACAGCTTATAAGACCTAAATGATACATGCACGAATCTTTTCCCACTAACCCTAACACCCTGCCCCAATCCCAACCCCCACTGCAGAAACCAAAGCAATATGATATTCATGTATCTGGATTCTAATATACCAACATTACGCAACATGATGGGTCATGGAATGAGTTGAGGAAGATAAATGGAAAACTCACAGAAAGCAATAAGGAATTTCCCATAGCCTTTTCTCTGATAAGGAGGTAGAGTAAGAATGCAAGCTAAATTGTAGGACTCCTCTGAGTGTTTCTCCTGCACATCAATCCACGAAAAGTTAGAGGGTAATGGAAAAGAAAATCATTAGTCTTCAACGACTTATCAAGTACTAAAATAGCTCATCACCTAAATATCTTGCAATAGAAACTACTCACGTGCAAATATGATTTGACATAATGCTAAAATACAGAAGTGATGCTACAACCTGAAGTTAGAATGGGGTGATATCACCAAATACAATGTCATCATAAATCAAAGGCTAAATATGAAAGTAAAACTACAACCAAAAGCAAAATAAGGAAATACCACTGAATGGAATTTGTCCTCGAAACTTAATACTTTTCTGGAACTTACGGATAGACAACAAAAGATACAACCAAACATAAATGATAAAAATTACCTTTGAGAAGTAGCCGACCATGTGGCATCCTCGATCATCACACTCGCAGAGCACATAGAACAGAAATAGATCAACATCATAGTAAAGGGTCTTGTGATCAAGAAACAATTTGGCCAGATAACAAAGATTTTGTCCATAAACCTTGTTCTTTTTCCCATCCACCTGTTTCCATAAATTCCAAACTTCAGATGACATTTTATCCCATATCAGACGATCTCTCTTCAGAACATTGGACACCCAATGGCAAACCAGACAAACTCTTTGAATGGAATAAGAAAGTGCAGCCAAGTATTTAGCATATCAAAATAATGCAAAATTTTACCTCAAACATTGACAAAGTTCCGTTTCGGTATATCTCATCACCAGGAGGATGCTTGAGATCACATTTCCTCTACAGATAACAAGAGTTGCAACCAATTTAATTTAAAAGATAGACGACAATGCACATTAAACAACTAAGCAGGGAAATAACTAATTTGCAATAATTTATTAAACAAAACCGACACTGCTGTATTCAAATAAGTAACCCAAAAAAAAAAGTAGACATCGAAGCAGTAAAAAGACAGATGGCAGTGTAAAGGAAGGGATGAAAGGAAGAGAGTAATTCACCATGTGCCGCTGGAGTTGTTCTTTGCGCTTCATGAAGTTCAGGCAAAATTCACAGAAGAACAGCTTGGTACAGTCATTGTATTCTGGAGGAAAGGGCGAAAAATACCAAGTTTCAATCTCATATCTACCAAGCTCTACCGTGGCAATATTTTTCACTTTCGTAAACTCTTCGTGTTCTCGCAAGCTAGCAGCATCAAGCTCTTCATGGCCCTGTATATTTCCAAACACCACCCCTTAATCATCCAAATAAAATAAAAATTCTGGTGAATCTCTTGAAGAAAAAAAATACCTAAAATCCATATCAACAATTTTACCTATGAGATCACATGATTCTAGTTCTATCAAAGTAACCAGGGTTTGCAACAACAATGACACACTTAATATGACAGTGACTAGTAATCAAAATTTTGTTAATTAACAGACAAAATAAACAAGAATTACCTCCACATGTGTCTCGTCAATCTTACGTTTTTGATGCCTCGTCATTTTCAAGCTAGTTACCTGAAATTGCAAATGTCATCATATGTCATATGGAGGACAGTACATAAGGGTTCAAATATGCAAGTATTCAAATAGAAATCTCTTTATCACGTAACACTAACAGATAAATAACAAATTAGATATGCAGAAATGCAGAATTCTATATATGATAAGTCAGGAAGTATCAAAATGTTACCTTGTCCTCAACCTTCTCATCCACGTCTGTTTCCACAGAATTGAGATCAAGCTGTTCCAATTTTACCCATTCATCAAGTCTACGGTTAACTGTTCAACGAAATACGCACAAACTCAGGTATACAACAATAATTTCAATTTTCAAGGTGGGTAAAATGAAGATGAAGAAATAAATCGTTTTATAGTTGCATAAATACTCGTCAAGCCAAACTGCGAAAGGCATAAATTATTTTACTAAAGGCTAACAGATCCCACCAATTTTATTTTGCTTTTTAATTCATATATAGAACTCCCATCAAATTAACCCTAATTATGAACCCTAAGTTTACCCTAAACGAGAAAAACTCGAATGCAGCATAATACTCACATTCCGTGTAGTGAACATAGTACTCGTAATCGCTGGATCCATCGGAAGAAAGCTTCCGGCGCTCGATAACCTTGACAGGGTGGTATTTCCCATCCCGCCACCGGCAATTAACACGCGTGCCGACATCCAAGGGCAGAACCGTCATCTTCCTCTTCCGAGAAAGATCGTTCTCCGGCAGCGCGCCGTTGATCTGGGACACCAGCGGGAGAGCGTCGCCGTCCACAGCCGCGGCTGAATGGCCGTTCGCAGCGGCTGTGGCGGTTGAGCCGTTGTCAATCGAAACCATTTTTTGTTCAGTAAAAAGAAATGAAAACGAGAAGGAAACGAAGTTTGAACAAAAAGGTTTTTTTTTTTTTTTTTTTTTTTTTTTTTTTTTTTTTT